TTTCCATTGCTTTCAGGTTCGGCCTCATTTTCTCTGTGCTGCGCTGATGAGTTCAAAAAGAACGAAACAGCATGCTGTCCGCAGATTGAGTATATATATATATATATATTTAAATAGAGAGGTAGGCGAACAAAATTTATATACACACAGCAACAAGGTTGTAAGTTTCATAACACTAAAAGCTTTTCACCCATTTTCATCAGTAGGTACATGGGAATGAGCAAGAACGAAAACGAAGGCAGAATTTATACTGGGGGTAGAGAATCAGCAAGAATATTCTTACGCGCCTCAAGTTCACACTACACTACCATAAGAATGTATGGAGCAGTGGAAAAATGCGGGAAACAACACATGAAGGGAATGCAGTACCAGAACAAACACGTGATAAAGTTGTCAGTCCGGTTGCAGCTTGAACAGCCGCAGCACTTTGATGTGCTTCTTTTGTCGACCCAGCTCTGGCCTCAAACTTTGAGGCGCGTAAGAATATTCTTGCTGATTCTCTACCCCCAGTATAAATTCTGGCTTCGTTTTCGTTCTTGCTCATTCCCATGTACCTACTGATGAAAATGGGTGAAAAGCTTTTAGTGTTATGAAACTTACAACCTTGTTGTTGTGTGTAAATATATATATATATAAGCAAGGTACGTTCGGGCCTGATTGGAAATTTTTATTTCCATTGCTATCAGGTTCGGCCTCATTTCCCCTGTGCTGCGCTGACGAGTCCACAAAGGATGAAACAGTTCTGTCCGCAGATTGAGTATTTCGCTCCTGCTCTTGGAGCAGTTCAGCACTCTTGCGTGGGGTAGTGCCTTTGCTGTTTGCGTTATGCAGGGCTCACTGACTTGTCAGTTTGAGCACTCTGGCAAGGTACGTTCGGGCCTGATTGGAAATATTTATTTCCATTGCTATCAGGTTCGGCCTCATTTCCTCTGTGCTGCGCTGACGAGTCCACAAACGATGAAACAGTCCTGTCCGCAGTCAGTGAGCTCTGCATAACCCAAACAGCAAAGGCACTACCCCACGCAAGAGTGCTCAACTGCTACAAGAGCATGAGCGAAATACTCAATCTGCGGACAGAAGTGTTTCGTCCTTTTGTGGAAAAATGTATAAATATATTTTGAAAGGAAAGGATATATGGAAATGAGTTAAGAGTAACTCTCTATCACTGTAACCAAATACTATATACTGTCAGAAAGTGCAAAGACTGGCACAAAAATGACAGAGTACTGAGACATTCGACGTCCTGACACCTAGCTCCAACACAACTCCGTAGCGCTAACTGTCAGCCTTCCAACTTGGAAGGTTCAGGGGTATGGAAATACCAGAGACCAGCGGAGCGAAAACGAGCACAAGCTACAGTCTCAACGGAACAAAGTGTCTCGATTGTTACTTGACGATTACGAGACCAGTAGGTAATTTGACAAAACGGTCTAACTACAATTCGAAGCAGGAAAGTAGAGTAGCACACCTCTCAACTTGGGTGGGTCATAAATATCTATGTACTCTGTCAGGTTTGTGCCTAGTCTTTGGTCTTTCTATAACCTTGAACCTTCCAAGTTGGAAGGCTGTCGGTTAGCGCCACGGAGATGTGTTGAAGCTTGGTGTCAGGACGTCGAATGTCTCAGTACTCTGTCAGTTTTGTGCCTAGTCTTTGCACTTTCTGACTTTATATAGTATCTGTTTACAGTGATGGAGGGTTACTCTTAACTCGTATCCATATGTCCTTTCCTTTCGACCTTTATTATTGGCTCAACATCCGAGTTTCGGATAATTATATAGATATTAATATTTACTAGGGCAGCTCCCACAGACCATTTGATTACTATCCTGGACGTGAAAAAAATAGCATTAATAATAATTTCACGGTTTGCCTAATATCGGCTAGAGGCCGAGTTTTCCGCATCCCTATGAACGCCATCACTTTTCAAAATGTAAATTTACATTCTTAACCATATTTATCGCAATAAATAGAGTAAACTGCACACCCAGTATAAATACCATTAGCAAAACTTGTTTTCTGGTATAAAAGCCTGTTCCTTGAAAGTTTTCGTGGCCATTACTTCAGAGGGATTACTCGAAAATCAAAATAAATTCAAAACTCAATATATATATGCACAAAACAAGTAGGAACTTTGGCACTATTTAGCGCGACCACTGAGAGCTGAAAGAACATTATACTCGCCAACGATATCAGATGACAACGAATGAGATAAATACACAACCAGAAAGTAACAATGCAATCCAAAAAGAAGCGAGAACTACTGATCTAAATTCACAAAAAAATTCAATGTAAACGAATTCTTTTTCTGCTTGTACAAGATCGGTTTGGTATCTTTGAATATCTTTGACTACGTTAATGAGACCAAACGGAAAAAAAATCATCAGTATACATGTAACTAGAGCGACCATCACTATTCTGAACAAAAGGGGTAGCATCAGAATATTCATACACCCTTACAACAATATCAGAACCAGTACAAGCTTTGAAGTTACGGAAGAATGCATGGTTACTTTCTGGTTGTGAATTTATCTCATTTTTTTGTCACCTGATATCGTTGAATGTTATAATTTTTTCAGCCCTCAGTGCTCGTGCTACATAGGTCTAAAGTACTTCTTGCATTGTGCGTATATATATTGAGTTTTGATTTTATTTTGATGCGGCAGTAATCTTCTTGAAGAGATGGCCACGAAAACGTCCAAGAAACAAGTTTTGCTAAATGTGTTTGTACTGAGTGCGCAGCTAACTCTATTTATTGCGTTAATTACATCTCCACGTATGCTTACACTTGTAGGGAGGAAAAGGGACCAAGACACTTCATGTAACCCTATATTCCAACCGAGTCAATAATTACATTAGTCAGCCTAAACGTATTTATAGAGAAAATAACCCCATGATTTAATTGTTCAATGGAGCATCTTTTGCGAACATCAGACCAAAGGAATTGGCATGCTTACGTTCATTGCCGTGATGATACAAACATTCCGGTCACTGGGCTTGGATGATTAATGCAGTCCTCTTTCATCTCCCTCTAGTAACAGAATTGACCTTTTTTAGTAATACGTTTCTGATTTTGGTTATGTACCTCTTACCTTTTGGCAATGTTCCAATGTAGACCTCTGGAGAGACGCTGCTGTGTATTCCGATCGTAGTGTTGTAAAATGCTTGGACTCGGTACAACGTGTTGGAACTTAGGTTTCCGAAAACTCTGGATACATTTGTGTCACAGACTGAAGTCGTGAAATTTGTGCTGTTTTTCCCGTACGCAAAGCAGAATCCAGTTATCCACTCCCGAAGTATGTGTGGCTGCAATATCCTTGCCGAGATCTCAGTTGCCGTAGAGTTGAGAGTTATATTGGAAGGCGCTACATGGGAAAGAACAAAACGTGTAACTTTGGACCGGTCAATGTACCAAGCAAAGCGTTTCAACTGGAAGTATAGACTGTAGTATCTTCCACCACTGGTGTCGTTCACGCTTTTCAAATTCATGCTGCGATGAAATGTTTCACTACTGTTGTCATTAATTTTACAAGTTTGGGTTTCGAGGATATAAACCAGTATCCAGAGTTACGGAGTATCCATAGGTACTGTTTTCTGATGATCGAGAGTAAAACACTTTTTTGAATCCTCTTATTACTGCTTGATTGCGGAATATTCTAGAGGTTAGAGGACTGCCGACTGTGTTCAAAAGAAGTTTGGAGGGCATGACGAAATGTGTGGAGTTTTATGTCCTAAACAGAATTCATGAAATTCAACAGCATTGGAGTTTGGAATCAGCAGGCAACCGGTTTGAACAGAAAGATGATGAACGAACACACGAGCGTGTGGTAACGAGCAGGAACACATTTTTCCCGTCTCCAATAGTTCGGTGAGGTTATTTTGGTTCAGCAAACCTATAACAAACATCAGGCCAAGAAGTCTAGAACATATTCTATCCCAAAACCCCTCTCTCTTATCATCAACCATTCTCTATCACCCGAGGTTTATCCTGTTGAGAGTAATCATGCAGTGGTTGTGCTCACATTAAGAACAAGTCAAGCAGGTAGGAACATGGTAACTATCGCCCTAAATCTCTGCTGGACACGAACTCCACGATCCTTGAGCATATAGTAAATATAGAATCGGCTGTACCATCATATTGCACCACTGCTCAATTATTCCAACAAAGCAGAATCCAGATATCCATGCCCGAAGTATCTGTGGCTGCACTAAACGTGCGAAGATCTCAGTTTCGGTGGAGTCGCCAGCTATGTTGGAAGGTGATACATGTCAGAAAACATAGCATGGACCATTTGAACTGCCAATGTAACGGGAAAAAATTCTGTTGAACCTCTATATTGTTCACTTTGATATTACGTAATTATCGGTCGGAAAGTAAGCCAAACGGCTTGGCAATACAGGTCAAAACCCTCACTGGGGAAATCGAGAAAGTGGAATTAGAAACTGGAATCAAGATACATGAAGTTTGAAGATGGAGATGAATTAATGTTAGGAACCAATGAGAATTTCCTTGTCAAACGTAACGAAAGTGAACATTACTATAATTTGATTTCTTTGTCCGTCACCACTTTACACACGTACCATATCGCTTCAGCTGATTCTGGTTATATATTATGTTTACTTATCTGAACTGTGTTTAAGTCATTTTGGTGGCGCAAATCTCCTTTTATCTTTGTTCCGGGTATGATGGATAAATACACGGTGACCACTATAGAGGTAATATGGTTGTAGTGGTCGCTGTAAACGTCAGGGGCCGAGTTACATATTGGATTGGCTACTTATAAAGTGCATTACCCTTACGAAATTCCATTTATTGCCAATTGCCCATAGTATAATTTTTGAATTGTTTTCTTCTTTACACAGTGAATGCATTCGATACTATAGTGTTGTAGGTCCGGGAAAGAGCGAAGTGTTGAAAGTCAGGGATGTATTTCTTAAACCAGTATTACTAACGCTACACCGACAACTACACGTTAGTGAAGTTCAAGCTAGTATACCTTACCATTTGGTGTATATCTCTGACAGTAGAAACTTAGCTTCATTGTGCAAGATTCGATTCCGAAACCCTCTTCTTCAGGTGAAAAGTAACCACATTTTCGCTGTCCACTAACTCCTGTTATTGAATTTTTCCAGGGAATTGTACTCGGTGTGGATGGAACAGGCAACACCCATGTCCAATTTTTAGATGGTCGTTGTAGAGCAACCCACACATTGCAAGTATTGGTTTCGCAGCCATAAGAGGCATTTCTGCAGTTATCGCTTGAGGAACTGTTGCATTGACCATTTCGTGGTCCAAGCACTGACCTTGCGCACTCTGTATGGTTTATGCTCTGGAGATTGGCCAGAATGCTGCCTCTCCCTGCGCACTCGGTGGTGGCCTCATCAAATGTCTTAGGTGTTGAAATGTAAAGTAACTCCATGAGTCCAAGAGATTTGCTCATGGAGCACACGTACCAGTTATCTTCACAAAAACATAGATTGCATTCCGACACAGCCATAATGAAACATTTGACATATACATGTATAGGAACATTAGAGCTACCTGAAAAAGATTGCTCAATACACAAAATTCCACGCAGTTCAAAAGCAACAGGCAGGAAAACTTGAGGAATGGGGTTGTTCAACTCTGAATTGAAGTCTCAAATAATAATTTGGGCGGTTACCATCAAAGATTTCCATTTTCAACTGACGTTTGTTTGTTTGCAAGTTTGGCTGGTGTGAATCGACTATTATTGCGCGAGTATTTTTCTCGGCTAACATTTTGGGCTGAGTGTTTGAAATCTATCGAAGCAGAGATTTTTTTAAGCTAAAGTGGCACAGGGAGTGTAAGACGGTGAAAAAGAAAATAGGAATTGATTGTTGACGGTAAGTGATTTAGAACTCAGACTCTGACATTTCAACGCCCGGATAATTTGAAGGCGAATATCTTTGTTGTGTTGGATTGGGATTTGACAATTAGACTGTATCTGTAGGAGAGTTGGTGCAGTGGGGCTGTGTCATTATTTTAACGTGCACATTTATGTGAAAACTCCGCTCCATGGTGGTAAATAAAAACTGTCGAATCTGTCGTGCAAGCAAAGGTCAGAGACTGAAAGGTGGATCATAGTTTCTCCCCTGCATGTCTTCCGTATTATCTCTAATATAAGCACGGTCCTTTATTTTTTCAATGTACCTCCGCCCCGTGCTATTAATGGAGACGTTCTTTTATTGGAGACTGTTCTTTTATTATTTCAACCTCATTTTTAAGAGGCATGTTGCCATGGCCAAATTCATGTCAGACACCCATTTCTGTTTTTTCGCCGGTACAGATAATGAATTTACACAGTGTCCTTATAATGGAGACTGAGCACTTTATTTTTTAAATGCCGCCCCAAGGTGTTCTATCTTTGGAGACGTGCTATTATTGGAGACTGTGCATATATTCGAGATAATAAGTTATGTTCGAAACGATAATTATATAAAAACAACGAACCGTAATCCCACTATTCAAGAAATTACGCAATTCTCATCCATTTGAGTCATCCAGCATAAAACGGAGCATATAGTTTTCTGTACGCGTTCCTGAACCAGCAGGAACGGGAACAATTACTTTGATCCTTGAACCACCAGTGCAATGGCATGGACAAGTCCATTAGCAAAACAGCACCAAACTTGCATAGGCGCTTTGTTAGCAAAAGAAAACCAAACATTCACAGGAGCTTAGTTGGGCACAACTCAAGAGAGGGATTTGTTTTTATCCACTAGCTCTTAGAGATTGTTACTCTCTGACTCTCTGAGACAGTGCAACTATTCCCCAGTGGGGTATAATCGCGGGAGTCTGGTTCTCGCTTGCTTATCTAGGGAAGTATCACTCGGATAGATAATGGTTACAGCATCACTGCGCACACATGCATACAAAATGCCCATGGTTCGAAATCGAACCATGGACTCCAAAGGGTTAAAGATAAAAAGATCAACAACAACAACAACAAAAACTGCTTTCGCACCGCAAACACTGAGGCGTCACGTTATGAGACAATTGCGTATTCAATTATCACAAAGAAACATCCTGGGCGTGACTGTTACACCACTCATAACGGTGTAGTAGTAGTACACAAAGGCACACTAAAATGAAAACCTTGGCAAATTAATTCCGTTGCGACTCAGAGTTTCATGGCTGACCCAATCATTAGACAACGATAATGGAATAGGAGACAGCGCTGGTATATCTAAGTGGAGAGAGGTGTGATAATACGATAGCGAGAGGAGTAATCGCGTGAATGTATACAGGGAAAGGCTATTTCAGAGGCAGATGCAGTAGGCGCAGGTCTAGCACTAACACGTACGCGCTTAATCTCGCTCACACACCACACACACACATACTAACACGCACACACATAGTAACACCCACACGCATACACACATACACGCACACACTAATACACACACAATCATACACCCACCCACACCACCCCTAGTAGTATTAGTAGAATTTATTATTTTACTAGGGAAATCCCAACAGGCGTTGCCTTTTTACTGGGAACCCTAGGAATGACTTGGTGCTTGTGACAAATGCAGAAAGGGGCTTAGCTTGACGACATCCAGGTGGAAGCATGTTCCACTTGTCTGCTGTCAAAAATGAAATAGCATTCAGGCCTTAACGGAGCGTAGCTCTGGGTAGGTTCAGAGCGGCTGAAGCTTGACCGCGGGTAGCAGCATTTGTGCTGCATGATGCAGTGCGGAGGGGTAAATGTCGTGCTTAAAAGAGGACTGGTGCAACGAGATAGACACCTAAAAACAAACGCAAACAGCTTCAAGTTTACACGGCGAGAGAAAGTATACAGGTTATATTTGGTGAGAATGAAATCGATAGAAGTATACTGATCATGGCCAAACACTCACCTTAGGCACTTATTACTGGTTGACTCAAGTTTGTCTCGGAGTTTAGCAGACAACCGGTGAACACAACATGTGCTGGCATAGTCCAAGGTACTCTGGACAATTGTCAGGTAAAACATGCGGCGGCCGGTCATAGAGACATCGCGGCGCCCGCGGCGGAATGAGGCAACCTTGCACTGTGCCTTGGCGCACACACGCTCAATCTGCTTCTCGATGCTGAGCGACGAGTCCAATAGGAAGCCAAGGTACAGAACATGGCTGGACTCGGGGATTACGGTGCATTTGCAGGTGATGCTTGGGATCACATCCAGTTGCGCAGCAGGTCGTCTGAGCAGCAGTAGCTAAGACGTTTTGGGATTTCCGCACCAGTCCCCGCTTGCTGAGGAAGTCCTCCAGATTCAAGAGATCTGAATGCAGCATTTTGAGCACAGTAGAAGCCTTGCGACCAATGACGTAGAGCGCGATGTCGTCCGCAAACAGGAGAGCAGGGCAATGTTGAAATTTCTGAGGGGTACGACGGATATAAATGCAGAAAAGTAAGGAGTCTAACACAGAGCTTCGTGGTACACCACGTTTGCAGGGCTCTGTACTGCCTCGGGCATCCCCGACAACGACCTGCTGGGTTCTCCCAGTAAGGTAGTCTGCGAACCAACGCAATGCCACACCTCCGACGCCAACTGAAGCCAGTTCCTGCACGAGCTTGCTATGCTGAACGTGGTCAAAGGCCTTGCTCATGTCCACAAACAAGGCTCCACACAGCTGCTTCTTGTCCAAGGCCTACTGCCAATCGTTTGTTGCATACGCCAAAAGGTCTTCACAGCTGTGATTGCGTCTGTAAGCAAACTGCTCCTCCGGTAGTGCACCGAGTTCCGGATGATTGTCGAAGAATGCTACAAGTTGTCGGTGTACCACCTTTTCAAGAACTTTGGATATCACTGGCAAAAGTGACACTGGTCGGTAGTTGGAGCCAATTGTTGCGTCGCCAGCTTTGTAGAGTGGGCACACGTGTGCATGCTTAAAACTACTTGGAACTTGGCCTGTATGCAGAGACTTATTGATGATTGCGGTGAGTGGACCAGCGATGTCTGTGCGGCATCATTTGAGGAAACATGGTGGTATTTCATCGGAACATTGTGCTTTGTGGCTGTTCAATGACTTAAAGACATCTTCAACATACTCTACTGTGACTGGCGTAAACTCGTCGAGGGTGGGAATGTCGACTGGTGGGCTGGGTAGAACACGTTCAGACGGTCTGGAAGGATAACAAACTACGGTTGCAAATGTGGCTGTCAGGTCGGATATAGTCGCCTTAGGTAAGGACTAAGGATTTAACTTTTTCTCGTCCTGCAAGCTTGTCCAGGATTAGCCACTGGGCTCTGGGTTTGCGTTTGCGGGTGTTGAAGGCCTTAACGCAGTATTCTGTTTTGAGTTTCTTATTCAAGAGGGTTCCTTCGCGCCGTGTTGCCCGGTACTGCTGGAGGAGGGGGCTATCGGCTGGGTTCCTTCATAATTTCCTGTGCAAGTTTATTCGAAGCTGAAGAAGCTTTTTCAAGTGTGGCGTAACCCATGGTTGCCGACGAGGCCTGCCAAGTCCAGACACCTTGGGCTGAGTGATGAGGGATTTTATTTCCAGAACATTTCTCAAACAATTGGAAAAGTGCTTCACTTGACCGTCCAGACTGGTGGGCAACTCCCAAGTTCTGAAACTTGCACTGATTTCCTGGCCACATTGGTCGAAATCCATAGAATAGGGTGCAGGCTTCCGAATCAGTCTGTGCGTCTGCGCAGGAATGGGCTCAAGGTCTTGAAAGGCACATTGGACAATGATGAGATTCTGATCACTAACACCGTTCATTGAGACTTCGTCCGCTTTGACTACAGGGGAGCCGTCAGTAACCAGCGCAAGATCTAGGCAAGTGCGTGCTTAACGAGTGGGTTCAGTGATAACATTTTGAGGTGATGTTCCGCACAGACACGCTGTAGACGCGATATCCTGGAGTCGTTGGCTGGAGAACATCAGTAATGAAGTCGCCTAGGATTAATGCGTTCGGAGTTTGAAGGGCTTAGTCAAGTTCAGAGCTCAACTTGTCTCAGAAAACCACTGTGGCTTACGGTGGGCGATACAAGGTGGACACACTAATGTCTGTTGCACGTGGCTTGGTGGCAATACGGAAACGGACTGTTAATATCTCTACAGTGGATCCTGTAGATCGTTGGACTACGGTTCCAGCAAAGTGAGAATGAACATAAATGCAGACACCGCCACCATGTATAGTGCGAGCCAGCAAGCCAAGCAGTTCTACCCTCACTTCTATTCTTTTTAGGCAGCGCTTCGGACCTGTTGTGTGCCCTAGGAAAATTCTACGCTAACCTCCTTGAACAGGGCTGTTCTGAGTACAAACGAAATGTCCTGGCTTGCCGCTTGATCCGCAATCTTCGGGCCATTGACATGTTGAGCGTCCAAAACCTTGTTTGCTTGCTGGAACGCTCCGTCTGTAAAGATGCTCAATGTCAGCACTTGGTCACATGCGGATCCAGCGGCAATGGCAAGCCAGGAATTTCGTTTGTAATCAGAAAAGTCCTGTCCACGGAAGTATTAGTTAGCGTAGAAATCTTCTAGGGCACTCGACAGCTCCAGTGCGCTGACTGAAGAGGAATCAAGAGCAGCACCGAGTACTGCTCTCTTTACAGTTCATGTAAGTATCGAAAAGTGGTGAATATAATTGGTGAATATGAGGTAAGTGGTGAATATAAGCGGTGAATATTCAGCAATATTCACCACTTATGAAGATGGCCAATAGGGGCAAGAACGACATTAGTGGAAGAACATAGAAAGGGTGAAGAGAGAGGGTGCGATAGTGAGAGAGAGAGAAAGAGTGAGAGCGAGAGAGAGAGTGAGAGCGAGAGAGAGAGAGAGAGAGAGAGAGAGAGAGAGAGAGAGAGAGAGAGAGAGAGAGAGAGAGAGAGAGAGAAAGAGAGAGAGGGAAAGCACAACGGTGCCAAACCGGGTACAGGTGGCACCATGTTTACACACAACTCGTGGAACTGATTCATAGAATTTGGACAGGTAACACTTGTGCTCGTGTCTGCATTTCGATACCAACTACGACTTTTGTCTATGTTTACCGTGTCTGCTTCTAGTGTTTCCATTTTCTCAGCATAGTGGACTGCGTCCAAGTAGCCCCGGACCGTGATGATGGGGGACGACGGCCCATTGGACAGACCGTGGAGTGTTCTTTTGCTCGAGCTTTCATATGCTCTGGATAGTTTTGTGCTTTCTTCCATTCTCTCATGCCTTGTCTCGGTCGCATGGTTGTTGTATTTCTGCTTAAAGGGTGTTTTCGAAAAGCCGAGGTGCCCGTGTCGCCGCTCTGTTCCTGTGTGCTGTACTGTTGCCTTGTACACGATGCATCGTCTTTGGAGGTCCCCGTCCAGTGAGCCGGTGCTTTTTTTCGGCAGCTACATCGTTTGTCAGGGACGTTATTGTCCTGTGTTTGTCTCTTCCTTTGAACATGGATATTATATTATGGATATTATGGTACGAAAGATGCTGCAACATCGGTTGAGTTAAGTGAAGAAATTGTCTGCACTGAACGTAGGAGCTCCTGCTTTCTGCCGACTGACTAGACACTTGACCGACTCACAACTGCGTCTGGAGCACACTAGAAAACCATCGTGCTCTATACCCGGCTAACAATTCGGCGTTCCTGGATGCAGACAAAATGGTCAATATCAACACATGATCGGAGCTGGTCTAGAATTGTAGACACGAAAACAAGTTTTACTTATCTAAAAAATTCACCATCAGTCACATTATTGGTTTTTCAACATGGCGCCATCTGTACCAGGTTTGGCGTCACGGTGCTTTCTCTCTCCCTCTTCACGCCTGATACAGTATGTCATTGCGTTACTGTCGCAATCGCCCTCGATTACTCAGTGGCACTGCCCTGTTATTCCCTCTATTCTCATATTTATTCGTTAACTGTCATAAATAATTCAACTGCACTTTCCCATAGACACATCAACATTTCACACATACAGACTTTATTCCACACTAGCACAAAATAGCTAGACCTGCTCGTCGAGGATTCGATTGTAAATGCTGCTATCTGATGATTGCTGAAATGCGTGAAATGTACAGTTACATCTGCACAGCCTTTCGCCTCTGTCGTGCGTTTAGTTCTCCACCTGGAGCAGCCTAGATTGGCCTTGTTTTTACATGAATATTAGCATGAGTTAAGTGTCGAGCAGTTTTGTCTACTAAGGGTTTGCATTCATGAACATATAAGAGCGCTCTGATCTTACAAGCATCATTAGTTTAGACGCAAGTACAGTGAAGCTTTGCTTTCAGGTGCGAGTGAAATGGTGTATTAAATTGCCACCTCGTTACATTCGGGAACCTACCATTCGCTAACACCGAACATTATCCAATGCCCTATTTCTCTTTCAAATGTATTCAGGTTAATCCCCGGTCTTCGTTTTGGGGAATTGTGGTTTAAAGAGTAAATGGAATGTCTAATTTAATCAGAGGAGTGGCCCGTACCGATCCAGATCATTAGAGATATTCCTTCAGTTTAATCAATGGATATAGACCTACCTTTAGGCACATATCGTTGACAGAGGCACCTAGCTTGAAAGTTGTTTATCCAGTTCACTAAGCCCCTGTTTGGATCAAAAAAACCGTAAGTATAACTAGAGTTTTGAATCGGAAGTTTAATATACTGGGATGACCAGGGAAGTCTCGTCGTACGGGTGGACGATGCCACTTCCCATTTCCAAGCACTCCAATCTCCAGCTGTCCATGTACCAGTCAAGCCTACCCAAACAGCGGTAGTTCCAACCACTGTCAGGTTTGCACACGTCAACTGAGCCATTGTGTGCACAGTCGCTAGAGATCCGCCATATGATTGACATTCTGCTTTTGCTTCTGTCCAAGTTTTCCGTTCACATTGAAAGGTCCAATCGACTTGCCACGTGCGAGCACTGGTTAGAGGACAGGCATCCCATTTCACTACACAGAATTACAATTGATGCAGAAGCAAGCACAAGTATATGTATATGGGAGCAGTGTAAACAGAAAGAGGAGCTAAATGAAGGATGGAACAAGATTGGATGATGATGGTGGTGAGCGCAGGGGTGGAGAGGGAGGGTTCGGTTGATTGCGAACATTGTACAGATCCCGATATTATTGTTGATCCCGGGAAGTATTTAATTAATTTGTGAGAAACCCAAGGTACTGTGATGTATAAAAGTATTTTGTTTTTGTGTATGCTACTTGTGCTTGTACACTCAATGGTGGAGTCCCCAATTTGCGTAACCTAGGATTATGCTTTCAGAAGAAGCACTTTTCCGCGCTCAACATTCTCACTTTAAGAATTCCCTGCCTTACACTCTTTTATCTCCTTGAAACGGGATTTGGATCGCGTGTTATTTATTGTGGTGAATACAACAGACATCTCCATATACTGTACTCGCGCAAATAGAGCCATCTCTTGGATAGTTCACTCTTTCTCAAGTTATGCCCCAATCTCTAAGAGACAGTGAAAACACCAAGCTCCCTCTCTCTCTCTCTTGATTGGTATAATCCCCTCCCTCCCTCAACCCCTCCCCCCGTAGTTTCAGGATCAATATCCCAGCTCTCATTCTCGTATCGATGAATCGTATTAGTTTACAGTAAGATTTCGGCTCGGTGTTTTCTTAGGCTTCTGCCCTTAGAAGATTTCCTTAGTACACTCTTTCGAACAGCACCCTCTTTTGAATAGTGCTCCCCATTTTAACTGGACAAAAATATGTGGCCCAGGGTGAGTTTTAGCGCGAAAACATAATAATTCTTATAGATTCTTTCCTGAAAATGAAATAGAATGAGATGATAAAAGTAAAGAAAGACAAAATTGCAACCGTTAGCGCAAGGACATCCGCACGTTCATGTTCTAGAAGTTACCACACGATTCTCCCTGTCTTCGCCCTATACCGGAGTTTTAACGTTTTCTGCTATGGTCCAATTTCGTCAGCACTGCCTACCGGACTTAGAATAGAGATTCTGCCATCTGTACTATGCACTCTTAACGCTCCTCGCACTCTCGGAGCCTCTTCTCCACGTGTTCCATCAACCTATCGCCTTCAAATCCGTACCGAATTTCCTTGGCTATAAAGCTGACTTCCAAATTAGTTTGTTCCTCTGCCATGCTTGCTTCAATCCTGGCGTAGTCGTCAAATGTTGTGAACCCTTCTGATTCTCTAAATTGTCAGGAACGAACGACCACACGGCACGAGGACAACTATTTACTCTTCAACAGTATTTTTCACTTCGATCAACTAATAACTAACACTAAAACCGTCTTGCAGTTATAGCGTGAAAATGGCAGCATATATTTTCTGTCCCACTTTAGTTTTTTTCACACCTCACCTTGTATACTTCCCACTATCCGATAACCTATAAGTAGTTTGTTTCTCCGTATTGCCTCTATTGTGAGACGATTTTCCCTGATGATAGTCTCAAGAAAATCGATTAGGAACAACCTTTTTAGATACATGTATTCTCATTCATCATTTTGTAATGTCCGCTTCACTTATACTATTAATCGCATTAATAAAGTTATTGTACCCTCGTCGCCTTTTCATATATCAGAAAAGCTTACACGTACAACATAAAAATACAGCGTACACAGCAAATCGCACGTAGCGCATGTAGCATATACTTATAAAATACATACTGAGTCCGAGGTGTTTACGAGAAGTAAAAACGGACACAAAACCCGAGGCGAAGCCGAGGGTTTTGTGGATGTTTTTTATAATTCGAGTAAACACGAGGACGAAGTATGTATTTTATTTAAATTATACTTATAAAACCGATTTTCGTTTTGGATTTTCGTACCTATTTCGGCGCATGCTCGAAATTACTCCTCGTGTTTCAACTTTCTCCTCGTGTTGTTTATTTTGGTTTACGCGTGTAATGGCTTCTTCAACGTCTACTGGACGTTTTGCGTCCGTTCCTGAAGAAGAAAGGAAGACAAGGTACTGGCGGAAATCCTCGAAAGGTTTTACTGCTCCGTGAGAACTCATTACGAGAAGGAATATAAACGGGCCAGTCTAATAGCTGCAAGAGGAGCCTTGCAGAGAGAAGTCAATGACCGTGACCGGGCTTCGATTTGAAGCGTGGCGTGTTTGTCTAGGCCAACAAGCTCCTCGATGCCGTCCTCAAGGACAAGAAAAAAGGAGGCCGCGAGGCTCCTGTATGCCGCAAGGAGTGTTTGTCTGATGGCGATTGGCTGCTCATCAAAGAATATTTTGCTGATGGGATGACCACAATGGACCCACGCAAGCTCTGAGTGAGTAGCTCAATTCTCTCCTTTTGATCATATGTATGTGTATCTCATCTTACCATTCTTGAGTGGACTATTTAACCTTTTCGGTTCAATTTGTGCTCTTCTGATCTTGCTCTGCATATGTTTGTACTGTTTTCGTGAATACTCTTATCTCTTGTTCTCATCTACCCCTAAAAAGAGGTTTTTTATACAGTTTTTTTATAGCCGGCAGGTTTTTTATACAGGTTTTTTATAGCCGGCAGTTTTTTTATACAGGTGTGTATGAAGTATAGAAACTTCTAACCCTACACGACAATCAATGGAGGTTTTTATAAGTATAATTTAACACATCGTAAACATCAGCGGCACGGCGGGGTCGAGATACAACTGCATTGAAACGAACAACATGTCACAATCGAGAAGGCCTTTCACACTTGAGAACTTGTGGGTTCATACCAGCCGTGGTAGATTGCCCGATGACAAGGGACAGCTGGCCCAGGTTTGTTGGGGTTGGGTATGAAAATCTCTATTTTACACACGCATTTTCTGATTTCTTCTCCAGCGTATGCTTTATTGAATTTTAATCGATTGTGTTAATTTGCCCATAAAAGAGGCCTGGATAGCTGGCCCATGGTTGACCAGCCGCATTGCTAAGCTGTCACATTGTGTGCCTGCGTAGCGGGTTCTTACTGACCTCATTGCGCTATATGATTCACCTTTACATCAGGAAACTGCTGGGTCAGCTGCCCCATGTTCATGTCCGTCATACCGATGTAGTGCAAGACGCGGTCGTTCTTCCATAGGCCCATCGCCAAGATGATAATCAACATAAGTACAGCTGCAGTGAGGTATCATTCTCCCACTTCAGGCCCCATGCGAAGACTTTCAAGAAGAAGATTGCCTCATGAGTCAAGCGGGGACGAAACGTGCTTTACAATCGAGCTACTAGTATGTCGTTGCTGTGTTATCTACTGATGTATATGGATTCCCCCATGCCATATTTGACCTGTAGTTCATGTACTCCCGTACTAGATTTGTACCACAGTTGTATGACCTCGTACCATAACGGCGTGCTTGGTTGGCTTGGGAGATACTTCCGTGCTTCATGTGTTTTGCCTCTTCAGTTGTGTTTTCCTTCTCTTCAGATTGGTTTTATAATAAATGTCTTCTTGCTAACTGTAGACATATCATGGCGCAGTGAACTGTTTGTTCCTTGTAGAACTCACCTGTGTGTTTAGTTTCTCGTGCTTTGTGTTTGCACCTCGTTGTGTTGCGCACTGGCCGATTTTTTTGTAGTTTGTTCGTGATACCAGCATTTGCGTAGGTTACGACCACGATGTCCGACTCAGACCCTGCTCCTGACATTGTTTCCCTGACCGCGATGTTGGCGGCACAAATGAAGTCCTCTTAGGAGAGGGAATGTAAAATGGCTGACCTGTTCCAACAAACTATACAACGACTGACACAACCAACACAACAACCCGTGCAACCCAACACCACATCACCAGCTCTAAAGCCTGTCTCTGCGGAACGACCGATTTTACTGTCGTCCTCGACATTAGCCGACTTCACGGCATGGGAGGAAATGTGGCGAGACTATTATGAGTGCCAGCACCTGTCAGCCCAGAGCCGTGAGACCAGAGTGTCCTCGCTGCGGCAAGCTCTAGATGAGGAGCTACGCAGATTTCTCCGCGAGGGTATAATCGTGACTCCACCGAATCCCGATGCGGACGATGTGATTTCTGCAGTCAAGGAATATTTGCGACGGCAGCGCAACCCACTCCTGGATCGTATCGCATTTTACGACAGGTGTCAATCGAAAGGCGAGTCTTTCGATTCTTTTTACACTTCGTTGAAAGAATTACACACTAGTTGTGATTTTCCGGACGTTGTTTTGTGCTCACAATGTTCAGCACACACATGTAGTACCTGTCGCACAAACCTGACACGTGTGCGTGCTTACACCCTGCGTGACAGGATTGTCATTGGAATTGGTGACGACGCTACCCGGCACAAGCTATTGTCTGCCAAGGACTTGACCCTGAACGATGCAGTCACAATTTGCCGGGCCGAGGAAGCGGCTACCACGACGAGCAGCAGTATCCCGTCCACCAGCCAGCTCAATGCTGTGCGGCGGACTGCGTGCCAACGCAGTAAGCAACAATCCCGACAGGGACAGCCTGGCAGCAAGATGTCTGCACCTGTACTGCCATCTCCATCCGCTCCCTCGTCAGGAAGCGACACACACAAGAAGTGCCCCAATTGCGGCTGGAGCCCGCACACAAAGTCTAGTTGCCCTGCCAGCGGCAAGAAATGTAATGGCTGTGGCAAGACTGGCCACTTTCTCGCTATGTGTAGGTCGTCGTCACAATCGGACCGGA